AAGAGCTGGGAAGGAGAGGAGTGGGTGTTAGGGGCAGGGAGGGCATGGTTCACATTGATCTCAGGTTACCTGGTAGGATTCGTCTTTCTGCCCGCCCAGTTCCCCCAGTTTGGGGCTTTGTTTCCACAGAGCTGGATCAACCGGGACCATCTGAACACCCCCATGAGACCCCACAGCAGCTCTCATGGTTCTGCTGGGCCCCGTGGGCCATTTCCCTCTTCTTCCTTGAGCCATTTCCAAGCAACTTTTTGAGTAATTTCTCTTTTCCCCCTTGAGTAATTTCTCTCATCTTCCTTGAGCCATTTCCGTGTCATTTTTTCAACCATTTCCCTGCTATCTTTTGAGCCATTTCCCTGCTCTCCTTTGAGCCATAAAAAAATGCTATTTTTTAACCATTTCTCTGCTATTTCTTGTGCCATTTTCCTGTCATTCCTTGAGCCATTTCAGTCTTCTTCCTTGAGCCATTTCCCTCCTATTTCTTGGGCCATTCCTCTGCTATTTCTTGAACCATTTTCTTTTTCTTCCTTGAGCCACCTCCCTGCTATTTTTGAGCCATTTCCCTGTTACTCCTTGAGCCATTTCTGTCTTCTTCCTTGAGCCATTTCCCTGCTCTCCTTTGAGCCATTTCCCTGTCATTTTTTCAGCCATTTCCCTGCTCTTCCTTGGCTGCATCCCGGGATGCTCCTGGAGGAGCAGATGCCGTGTGTGATGCTGGGATATCCCACACCAGCAAGAAGTATCTTGGCAAAAATCCCAAAAAATCTTGTTGACTTGAGATGCCCTGACACAGCCAGGACTGGGTGGCAAAGCCCTGGAAAAATCCACTTCCAAAGGCAAGTGCTCAAAATAAAGACAATTTCCTCAGATTTCCTCCCTCCTCGTGTCCTCTGCTCCCTCCAGGCCCAATTTCCTGAGCATGAGGAAAATCCTCTGTCCACACCCCAACCCTGCCGAGGATTGCTGGGATTTCAGGGAGGCAAAAATCCTCCAGGATGCTGAGCTGGAAGAGGATCCTGCTGCTCCTTCCTCTCACAGTTAAATTCCACCTTCTCTGTCCTTTCCTAAATTTCTTCAAGGAAGAAATTTCAATACTTCAAGGAAGAAGTTTTAATACTTTCATCTCCTGAATGTTTTCCAAAAGAGCTCATTAAAGCAGTCAGGCTTATAAAAGTAATTAAAATTCCCAGCTTAACCCCGAGGTTTCTTATGAAAAATCAGCCTGCTGTCTCTCATTCATCCCAAAATCCCCATTTTTTGCCTTTATTCATTTCCAGTTTGTCCTTTGGATGCTGGAAAGCACCAGAACAATCCAATCATAACTACAGGTAATAAATTTTGCTTCTCAGCATAGGCAGTCCTAATTTTTGGGAGCACAAAGCAGTCCCAGCCCCAGAGCCGAGGATTTGGCTCTCAGTAACCCCAGGAAATGCCCCCAGAGCAAAGCTCATCTCAGTGCAGGGAATTCTCCTTGGAATTAAAGCTTAGCAGACACTCACCTGGGCTGTGAAGGCTCTGGAAGAGGAGTGGAGCTGAGTGAATGAGTTGCTCTCCCCTCCAAGGACTTTTATACAGTTCCCAAGTCCCTTCCTGAAAATGCAATAATCCCCTGAGGGGAAAAAATGACCAAGGTATTTACAAAACAGCCCCACCCCTAATTACCCATCACCTTCAAAAGCTCCTTCCACCCGATTTCTTTGATTGACTTGTCAGGCTCTGGATTGTCTTCCTCGTCTTACACAGCTTTAATTGCGCCCTGCCCCTGGCGGGCTCGGAGTGAAAACCGTGTGGGCGGCCGGGGCTGGCTCACCCTCACGGCACGATGAATTTTAGGTTGCAACACGGGTGGCAAAGGTGGTGAGTTTTGGGGTTCCTGTCCTCCTGAAACCTCTCACCTGGAGTCTGGCAGGAAGGAGAGGTCCCGGTGCCCCGTCCTCCCAGGCCGGTCTCAGCAGGAGAAAAATCTTAGGGTTTTTGTGGAGCAAAACCACCATTCTCAGGTTGTCGCCATGAAAAATGGTAAATTCTTAGAAAGTGTTGGTTGAACGTGCTTGGAAAACATCTTTAAAGTAGTTTTCAGCCTGTGAGGCTCCTGCAGGTACCAGAAATGAACCGAGGGTCCCTTCTCTGGCAGGATCATTTCCCAAAGGAACAAAACCAGTCTGTGGCCACTGTGGGAGGCTCTGGCTGGGAGGTGACCTGGCAAACCCAGCTGGTGGCGCTGGCCTCTGCTGGAAGTGTTGGTTTCTACCTGTGAATTCCCCAAAAATGTAACACGGTTTCCTCAACATGAGGAAGAACTTCTCCCCTGGAACAGCTGGAGTGTCTGGGGTAATTCCAGACCCTCCTGGGCCTGTCTTTGTGTCACCTGCTCCAGGTGACCCCACTCCCCTGCTGTTCTGGGATTCTGTGATTGTGAGATCAGGGATTCTGAGCTTCTGTGGTTCCATGGTTCTGTGATTTCCCACCTGTGTCCATCTACCTGGACATCTACTCCTGTAGTTTCTATCCCACCTGATTTTATGGTCATTCCACCATCACTGACACAGTCACCACCGATTTTCTTTGCTGATGTTTTTCCTGGTCAGCCCCAAGATGCCCCACACAGAATTCCTCATTGAAATTTTCCATTTTTTCTCATATTTTACTCCATTTTATTTGCCAGGCTCTGGAGCAACGATGGGGAACCGGTGCCGACGGAAGCCGCTTGTGCAAACCTTGCACTCGTGAGTAAGCTGTGAGTAAAATGCTGGGTCAGAGACCACACATCCGAGCTCCCCACGCATCCTGAGCTCCACCAGCTCTTCCCTGGGGCGGGATGGGTGAACCTGGGTGCAGAGCACTGGGGTGGTGCAATCCTAGATGCAACCACGGCTTCGCAACATCCCCGACTTCTCATTTCCCCTCCCCATCATGGAATTCCAGCAGGACTCCTGATGTGTTCTCACTCACTTCCCACCTGAAATCGCTCATGGAGCCATGAGGTTTGGCTGGGCAGAGATGCCCTGAGGCCGAGGGGTGGCAGAGTTTTGTAGGGCAGAGCCGAGGGGTGGCTCTGTTTGCTATCACTGAAACAATTCCTGGAGTTTCTTTCCAGAGGCGCCAGTTGGAGACTTTCATCCAGAAGCCAGAGTTGTGTTTACTGCTCAGCCTGTTTACCAACAGCTGCAGGAGAGGGGCCTTGGTTTGACAAGCACAGACAGGCTTGGGATGAGTCCTGGCTTATCAGAGTTTGGGATGAGTCCTGGTTTATCAGAGTCGGGAATGAGGTATTATCAGGCTTTGGGATGACTCCTGTGTTATCACAGTTCCTCACAGGATGACTCGTCCCTGCCCTGTTGAGCAAGGAGAGGGGAGGAAACCTGGCTGTGCAAAAGGATAAAACCCAGCCTGGGACTCCTCCCAGCCTCAGGCTGGAGCTGAGCTCTGGGGAGGGCAGATCAGCTCCAGCTCCTCGTGTCCAGCCTTGGGTGGAAACCTGTGCACCCTGGGTTTATTAAATATTGAACCATCCAAACTTTGCGAGTGCTCTTTGATAGGAGACTCCAGAACCAGGGAGTAAGAAATGGGATTTTCAAGTGTTTTTTTGTTTTCTCTGTTTTGGGAGGGACTGAAATTTTGAGGTGGTTTTTGGTCACTTGGATAAACTAAAATATTTGAAGGCTCTGGGCTTGGTTTTGTGGAATTCTCTGGAAATTTATTTGAGCTTTCAGAGTTTTTTCGCTTCCCTTAATGAAGGAAGGAAACCCACAGAAATATCAATAATGAAGTTGTAGATTTCAGAAATAGAAATAAAAACAAATAAATGATAATGCTGCCTAATTTTAGAATGGAATTTAATAGGGCTAGTGACAAAATCTTGCGTAATTGTCCCCACATGATTATCGTGCGACAATTTACATGTGAGGGATCCTGTGGCATCAAATACAGGTTTAGAGCTCAGAGGATTTGGGTCTTTGGTGATTCAGGGCAAAGTTTTCTGCATTTTTATTGAGTTGAAAAGGTCAAAATCCCCCCAGATGGGTGAAAGCAGAAAGGTAAAAAACCAACAATGTGATTTTATGTCTCACTTTTAAATGGACCCAGATCTACAGGTGTTTTTTTTTTTTTCCCTCCCTAACAAGTATTTGGATGAGTCAAACAAGAGAAGATTAAAAGTTGGGCAAACCCCACGTCCCAACCAGCACTGGAACCGTCCTCTCCCCGTGCTTAATTTAGGGCCTGATCCTATCAAAATAATGCCATGAGCAGGTTACGGGGAGGAAGCCAAGGAGCTCCTTGGAGTTGCCTCATGCACGAGGTTCTACGTGCTCGGGGTTTCGCCATCGGGGCAGGAGCCAGGTAAACAACCTTTCACTGCCAGGTCACGCTGTAAATAATAATCAGTCGGAAATCCTACGGGAAATTGGCAGATCTCCTTAATGAGGCTCGTGGGGGGCTCCGTGGGGTGGGAAGAGCAACTCCAGAAAGAGCCAAGATCCCAGAATTAAGAGCAGAATCCCAAAATTCTGGAGTAGTTGGGGTTGGGAGGGAGATCTCCTGAAGCAGGAGATCTCTCCTGAGATCTTCCAGGTGGGGTTGGGATGTCTCTGGAAGGGGAGACCCCACTCCTTCCTCTGCCTTCTCTGTGGAAATAAATCCTCCCTCATACTGAGGTGGAATTGGGGTTTGGTTTATCCTTGTCCTGTCATTGGACACCACTTGGGAAGAGTCTGGCACCACCTGAACTCCCCTGGTTGAAAGTGATGTATTTTTATTGTATTAACATAAAATTTACATTTAAATTGGGTGTAAAATACACATGAAAAATGTCCTTTGTGTTGTGGAGATTCCTTGAGGGATCCACTTGCATTTTGAGTGAAGGAGCCAGAAATGAAAGAAACCATCCCAATAATGAAATTACCCACAGACCGTGAAATTTTATTTTCCAACCCTTGATCTAGAGGAGATGGAGAAAAGAGCCTTTTCCCATCACCACAGCACAAACCCCTTTTTCCAGCAACTCCTGGGGAATTTTGTCAGCACAGCCCTACGCGAAGAATGCGGAGCTCTGTGATGTAATGGCATCGTTGAGGGGGGCAAAATTCCACTTTGGCACATCCAAGGACACTTTTGGGATGTGGGAGAGGCTGGGCCACTCATTTCTTCTGGATGGGTGGCCAGTGGGTGCTCTGCTTGCACTGCTCACTCTTGATGGTGGGGATGACCACGGGGCATTTCTGCTGCACCACCTGGGCGCATCCTGTGCCCACAGGGCTGATCTCTGGCCCAGGCAACATCCCAGTCCCATATGTTCCATATGTCCCATATCCATACCCTCCTCCATAGTACCCTGAGCCCTCAGAGAGCCCCCCAGTGCTTAGGGTGTCACTCAGGGGTGCAGAGTATCCATACCCAGCCCCTGCTCCCTCCACCACTCTCGAACTCCCTCCGTGGTAGACAGATCCTCCACCTCCCCCTGCACTGCTGATAACAGACCCCACATCCTCACCACCGTACTCCATCCCCATTCCAGAGCCATAAACCGGGACTGTCCTCACCACAGGGTCCCAGCTAGACGTGACCCCACAGTCCCCACTGCTGACCACGAGGGACCCGTCGGTGTCACACGAGAACCTCCCTGAGATGCTGTAGGGGGCTGGCGCTGGCAGGGGCGGGCAGGACGAGGGTCTCCGGCTGTAGGTGACAGAACTGTCCCTGCCACACGAGAAGGAGGCGCGGCCATGGCGGTTGGTGAAGGCGCCCGAGCAGAAGCCGTGGTGACTCAGGGAGATTTCCCGGCTGTAGCCGCGGTTCCGCCGCGACCATTTGCGCCGCAGATAGTGGTAGAGCTGGAAGAGGAAAGGAAAACATCCCTGGTGGTAAAACTGGAAGAGAGGAAAACACTCCCAGTGGGAGAGCCGGAAGAGGACAGGAAAACACGCCCGAACTTGCACAGTTTTGCTTCGTGCCAGCACCAAGGCAGGTGGGGACCTGTCAGGCAAAGTGGCAGTTCCAGGCTTTGAAACTGAGCTGGTAGAGAATCATGGAATTGTGGAGGGGTTTGGGTTGGAAGAGACCTCAAAGCTCATCCAGTGTCACCCCCTACCATGGGCATGGACACCTTCTGCTAGATCAGTTTGCTCCAAGCCCCAAATCCAAGGATATCTGGGCTCTTCCTGAGATAGCTTTCCTCTTTCTACCTCTATTTCCAGGGAATCCAAAAGTTGAAATATGTTCTGAATCCAAAAACTGAAATATAAAATCTGAAATATATTATTTTCCCCTCTAGTAACTGCCATGGTTTCCCCCACTCATTTTCATGCCCACAGAACTGCAAAAACATCGAGGATCATCCTCCTATCTGTTCCTCAATTGTTGTTTGATGGATCAAAGTTTCCACCCTGGCTCTGTTACTGCCGCCCCAAAATTATTTTATAGAAGGTGATTGGCCCAGCCACGGAGGCTCGTGGCCATTCTGAGGTCCAGCTGTTATTAAATAATATAAAAATGTGTCCTGTACATTCAAACCCACCAAGGTTGTGCAGTCCCCACGTGCCGACCCCACCACAGACACATCTGGGTTTTTACCCTGCTCATCTCTCTGCATCCCACTCTGGTGCCTTGATTTCACCTTTCTCCGCAGGGATTGGACCCAGAACGGAGCTGGAGCCCACCCAAATCCCGAGGATTTGGCTCAGGCAGACGGGTCCTGCTTCCAGCACAAGCCAAGGTGTCAAATCAGCCTCATCCCATCACTAGGAAAGGATAAAATCCCAGAAAAAAAGAGACTTACCCTCTTCAGCCATCGGAAACACATTTAGAAGGTAAAGGTCGACTGAATGAGACGCCTTAACAGCCTTGGGAGCATTTATATGGCGTTTAACATGTAAGGGAAGTGAGACACTCTCGGGAATGAGAAGGATTTATTTACCAAACTGCGATTCCAGTGTTTGCTTTGACTCCCGATCCATATCTCCCTTCACACCGCTCATTTCGCCGCTGTAATTGTTACTTCTGCTTAATGAGCCCATTCCTGCGCCCCTGCCCTGAGCTATACAGGAATCCTCTGTCCCCCAACCCCGGGAGAGGTGGGTGGGGATGTGGGTGTAGGAAAACTCACACTGAGAGCAGAGACAGCGGGGAGGAACAGCTCCAAAAGCTCTGGTGACAATCTGATCCCTCCCAGGTGGCTCCAGGGGGAACTTTTTTTTCCGAGGAAAATATTTGCATATGAGCCAGAAGTTCGTTCAAAGTGATTGATGCCCCAAGTAAGAATTTTTGCAAGGGTGCTCAGAGAGAGCTTAAAAAAAGGCAGAATTTGCAGAGGTGTGAATGTACGCATGCTTAAACCCAGCCTGGCTGGATTACACTTTAATGAAGGATTATGCTTGCACATCCCTCCCTTCCTTCTTTTTCATCTCCTTCCCCTGGTTTGGAACCAGCAGTGGGGCCACAGAGCAGCTCCTGGAGGCTGAACCGGCTTCAGGAAATACTGCTGTGGTGACAAAAAGTCCCACTTTTGGCCAAAATCCCATCCCTGGGCAGAAATCCGTGCGTGGGGCTGTGGGGCTGCCAGGACAGGGTGCAAAGCATGGGGAGAGGGGGATTTTTGAGGCCGGGAGGAAGATTTGCAGCAGCCTGAGGGATTTGATGCTGGTTTTGTTCCCGCCTGCCTGGCCTGGGGCTGGGTTGGCTGGTTTGAAGGTGAGGCTTCCCTCTGG